CTGACACAAGAACCCAGCCCCCCTTTAACCTTGCTAACCCCTCCTGCCTCCCCCATCCATCCTGCCTGCATGAGCCCAGCTATACACTCTTTTATGTTACTTTATGGAAAACTCAAATGCTATATAGTCACTGAATACATTCCAAGCTAAGTAAAAAACGGACCTGGATGTTGTCTCCAGTATGGGATTGCTGTATGTACTACTACTCTCATTCATTAATGTGGATCATTGATCTTGTTACAGTTTGATCACATTGGAGCCCTCTCTGGGAAAAGCTTGTACTTAAACCTCAGCAGCACTAGGTGATGCTGCTGTCCCACACAAAGGCTGCAGCCTGAGCTAGGCTTGGCCAGGGCCGTCCTGGGCTGGGGGTCCTGCCTTTCCTTGGCTGAGTAGGGCCCGCAGGTCTGCAATCCACTCCAGAATCTGAAAAAGTCATTTCTGTATCCATGAGTCTGGACTCTAGAAAAGTATGTGTGTTAAATCTCTCTCTCTCTCTCTCTCTCTCTGAGCTTACAGAATGTGTGTGTGTATGTTGTGTATGTGTGTGTGTGAGAGACACACATAGACAGAGAGAGAGAGACGGACAGAGAGAGACAGAGAGAGAGAGAGAGAGAGAGAGAGAGAGAGAGAGAGAGAGAAGGAGTTTTCAAAAACTCTTGAACTGATTCAGAAACTAACTCTGGTTGCTCTAATTTCTCCAGGTGCCCCTGAGTCCACCTTACATGAATGCTCACACTTTTGGATCCACAGAACAACTGAAAGTTCCGCAACCCCACCTCCTGCTCCCAGATACGGGAGAAAGATCAATACGAATGGTATTGACACCAGAGTCTTTATCTAGAATTCTTCCAAAGAGTTGTGTGTCTGGGCAACACTCATTTGTGTTAGACAAATAGAGTACAGGGTACGGGGGCTTCTTCTGTGCTTGATGTCTTTTCTGTAGTACAGAACAGGCACTTCCCTGGCCAGGTTTCTTTCTTTAACACTGCCATCTTTGATGCTGCCTCCCCCAACCTCTGATGTGTGCAGTTAGCAATCAGTAAACATAAGACCTGTCTTGTAAATCCTCATATGTGAAGCTGCTGAGTGGGACTAAAAATCTAACCCTGCATTTCATTCCCACCCCAGAGAGTGGTATCTGTTCTACATGCACAGCACTCCTGTCGTGCAGCAGCTGGGTAGGCACATTGGTTAATCTGAGTTGAAGAAGTTATTTTCTTACATATGGGATGACTATTTGGTTGCATAGAGAATACATTCATATTAACGAGACTGAATTCATCCGTGCCTCCACTGGGGAATCTCCAGGACCACAACCATCAATCCACTCTAATATTGCCCAATCTCTTGGCCCATTCTGCACCTATAATGGTTAGGAATTTCCCAGAAGACTCCTGGCCCAATGCCTTATAGAGAGACATTAGGAGTATGTCAGCAAGATAATTTTTGAAAGATAACCCTAATATTGCTGATAGGCTCCACAATCCAAGTGCAGTGTGACTTACATTTGCTTGATTATAAGAATACAGATTCCCAGGTCTCTGCCCTGGAGACTCTGACTCAGTTGGTCTGAGGTCCCCTTGGGAATACACATTTTAAACAAGCAGCCCAGTGACTCTTATGATCAAGCAAGTCAGGAAACAATGACCCTCTGTACAAAGTGGGTTCCAGCTACAAACCAGTGTGTGAGTCCTATCAGACTCAACAGAAGCCACAATGCAAAAAAAGATCACGGAGATTTTAATAGCCAGAGAAGGAACCATCTGTGTGTCATGGGATGCCCTCACCAGGTAATTGGGCACCTATGGCCATTGCAGCCACCTGGAAGCTTCTGACAGAGAAAGCATTGGGGAATCTTTTATTAACATATTTAATGTGCTTGACTAAGGGAAAAAGAGTATGAGAAGCCAGGAGGCCTTGTTAGCCACTCTGCATCATGCATGGCGAAGAAATAATGCTTTCTTTCTCAGGAGAGGTTTAGTTTAACCCTTGGCTGTCTTTCTCCAGGGAGAAGCCAGCGGGCATAGACACACTTAAATAGTAGTCTTCCTAAAAGGGCTGGGCGTCCCTGGGGCTCCATGGGCAGTGTCTGGGAGGAGTACAGAGAAAGCCACATGGAACTCTGTCATGGACAAGGTTACGGCTTCCTCGAGAGAGCAGTCTGCCACGTTATGTCCCCGACTGCCCTCCTCCTCCACTGGGGTCAGCCTTGGAATCCCCAGGGACCCCAGAATATTGACCCACCCAGTGAGAGCTCCCTCCACCCCTTCTTTGTGGCTGAGGGGAGAGTGCAGCTCTCTCCCAGCTGAGGATTGACTAAGATGAAGTGCAGAACCTCAGCGAGAAGCTGAAATTGGAGCCATGTGTCTCAGAGGGTCAAATGGAGATTCTGCTCTGCAGGTTTTTAGGGCCACTTCTGTCACTCTGCATCCAGTGCGACATCACATCTGCACACCGAACCACAGCAGCTGAGATTCCAACTTGTCCCCTCCCTGACAAAGTTGGCCACCCCATGGCACATGTTTTGTTTGGCGGCAACAGCTGAGTGAAAACGCAGCATTCCCTTCTTGTCGGCAGATAAATCATTCTTCGTTGGGGGCACCTTTTTGTTTTCTATCCCTGAAAGAGTCTGGGGGTGGCTTTTCTTTTCTTTTCGCCTTTTTCATAAATAAATATTTTAACTGGAAATTTCCAAGTGTATGACAGGCCTAGAATGTGAACTTGAATGTACTGTAATAGAAATCATCAGTTGCCATGGCGACGTGTTCCAAGAGCAGCTCACACCGAGTCACGTGAGCGGAGAGTGCTCAGTAATACTAACACATCAGAGAGCGGGGCCACTTAACCTCAATCGCTTCCAGCTATTGTGTAGAATGCAATTGAATTTATTCCTAATTTCTGCCAGTGCTAAGGAACAAAATTTCCCTGCAGATTTTAATCTTACTCAGGCAGCCCCAGCCAGTGCTCTCAGACACTGTTCAGCACCAATATTCAGCAGGGCTACTCACCCACTTTACAGCTCTATTTTCTTATTCTTATTTTAAATAATAGCTTCCTTCTCCCTGCTGGATGCCGCACATCTCCCTGCCCTGGGGAGAGTTGCCCTCCTCCTTTCCGAATGGCTGCACGGTTTCTCTGACTCCTTCTGCTAATGCAAGCAACATAGCTTTCATAATAATACCAATTAAAAAATGACAGGTCTCCACTTTTAGCAGTAGTTTTTTCTCCCCCCACCCCAAACCTGTGCTGAAATATAATTCCTACCAGCTTTGGGCTATACCTGGGGATGACACAATTAACAGCCCCATCATAATAAGGCAAGCCTGTGGATCAGTGAATGATGGAATCATAGTGTGTATTTTCAGTCCCTGTCACAGTCACATTCCCCCCACCCCCACCTACCCCAACCAGGAGAGCAACACAGACTACCAGGAGGTACGGCCGCCGATCACAGAACACTCATTTCAAGAGCTTATCAGCTCCTATGAAGGCTGATAAATCAGAACCTCTCATATGGACAGTCTCAAGTTAGCAGCGTCATCGATCTCCCCTGCACCTTTTAAGTTATTTGTCTTATTCACTTCCAAAGATGATATCAGAGATGCCAAATGAGGCTTTGTTTTCTGTGCTCTTGCGCTGCCTAGGGTGAGTGGCTGTGTTGTTGCAGGAAACTAGGAAGCATGCTTCCAGGGCTTAGCCCTTTGTTTCCAACCCAAGGTCACCTCTCCCCTGCCGGTTCAGGTGTTGTCAGCAGTCCGCCTGTGTTCTGAGGCAGGGGGCAGCATCTTCTGTGGCTGACAGCCTTTGTATGGCCCTAGCCTTCCATTGACCTCCCTGCTTTATGAATGTCACTTTTAAGAAGACAAAGACCTGCTTGAAGAGCTAAATGAAGACAATGCAGAGCCCAGTTCTCAGAAAGTCCATGTTGAAGGTCATGCAAAAGGAACATTAAAAATGTGGCCGGGCGCAGTGGCTCACGCCTGTAATCCCAGCATTTTGGGAGGCTGAGGCAGGTGGATCGCCTGAGGTCAGTAGATCAAGACCAGCCTGGCTAACATGGTGAAACCCTGTCTCTACTAAAAAGACAAAAATTAGCTTGGCATGGTGGTGCACGCCTGTAGTCCCAGCTACTTGGGAGGCTGAGGCAGGAGAATCGCTTGAACCCAGGAGGTGGAGGTTGCAGCGAGCCAAGATCATGCCACTGTACTCCAGCCTGGGAGACAGAGCAAGACTCCGTCTCAAAAAAAAAAAAAAAAAAAAAAAGGTAGGGAGATTATTGGAAAGGTCTTTTCAGAAAAAAAAAGCGGGGGCGGGGGGTAGTTTCTGCAGTGACTTCCTTTAGCAGGTTGGTTCCTCTAGTGGGAGGGGAAAACGTAGTTGCAAATCACTTACTCAGCTAGTACCAAGCCATTGTTCTAATGCTGCACTGGAATAGGAAATGTGGAGAGAAGTCAAGAAGAGAGGGAATGGCAGCGTGGAATTAGGATGGGGTTGCTGGTGGTCAGAGCTGACTCTACATAGAGAGCTTGGTAACTATGGAAATCTTCATGGAGCCTGTCAGTGAAAAGCAGCCTGAGAGGAAATGAAGGGAAGCGTTGTGGTGAATTTTATGTCAGCAGTTTGAGTGTGACATTGGGATCTGGAGGGAGAAAACTACACAGCAAGCTGTGGGTAGCACACAAGGCTCTGTGCCCGCCCTGCTGGGATGGAGCCTCTGAGCAGCCTTTGCCAAACAGGCTCAATCTATCGTCACCTATCCACAGAGCAGGGGAGCAGGGTGACTTCAGGTAGAAGCAGCCCTCTGACTCCTATCAGGGACTTCAACCCAGCACAAGCTCCCTCTGGCTAGGATGGGCGAAGCACTGTCCTTTAACTGGCAGAGTAAACTGTCCAGCTGTTCAGGAAACAGAGTATATTTTCTAATCGAAATTGGTTTGATTTATACTGGAGCAGAATTTCCACATTTACTAGTCTAAAATACTTGCTGATCCTCTTACCAGAGCTGTTTAGGCCATTAGTGCCCTGGAAGGTTCTGGGAGGACATCTAATCTGCAGTGAAGCAACGGCCCTGTAGACAGAGTGACCTTCTGGAACATTTCCACACACAGAGGTACATTTCTGGAGACCACTGAACCTCATGGACTCCTACAGAGGAAAGACAGTGAGAGAATGTCAGGAAAAAGCAGGAGCATTTTATTCCTGATGAATTTCATTAAAGGGAAGGACAATCTGTGCTATTATGCTAATATCTGCGATAGCAATTTTATTATGTTCGTTAATCTACAGTCAAGGAATAACATTATTACAATTCTTACAGCTTTTCAAAGTACTTTCATAACTATTACCTTATTTCAACTGCATGGCAACCCTGTGATGTAGGTAGGTGCATTTTAAAGATGAGAAAATTTGGATCTAGAAAGGTCGGGGCTAGAACAGAATCACACAGAGTAAGGACAAGATCTAGATCTTAGGACCCCTGGTCCAGTGCTGCCAGGGGAGAAAGGGAGTTGCCTGCTATGTATGCTGCTGGTGACATCCACAGAGACTGGCCGTGGGGGGTCCCTGAGTGCTTTAGCCTGGTTATGGCTCTTTGCCTGGACAATTGTCCACTCAGTGTTTCCCCATTTACTGTTTCACAGACTGATTAATTCCTCGTCCCCACCCCACCTATGGGACAGATTTGCAGAGCTCTCAAGACTGGTGCGGATGCATAATGTGTGACCACACCATTGCTTTCCCAGTTCTTCCCCCCTCCCCCAACAATGCTTTAACACTGACCTGGAGGGGTCCGATGGGAAAGCTAAAATTTGGTTCTACGTCCTTGGTTCTCAGGCTTTCCTTTGAGAGGGTGATGAGACACTAATTTGAGTTCATAATTTTATGCTGAACAATTATCCTCAGAATAATGCATTTTTGATTTAAATTTCAATTGGAGTTTGAAAGGTGCAAAAATTACAGGAACTATGTCTACATTTTCATTATACATTCTCCTCATTCCCAACAGTTATTATATCTCCAATACTTCCCACGTTACATCTTGTTTTCAATTCAGTTAAAATCCTGTATGCCTCTTCTGAATATCATAGTTAGAAACAAACAGAGATGCTCAGAGTAATTGTCTAGAATACGATGGGGAACACTTTCCCAGGTTACAGAAGGGCCTGGCTCCAAAACAAATAACACAGAACTCCAGCAAAGCTGCCAATCCCAATCCTTTAACACTGAAGTAGCTCAAGGCACTGCAGTGCATTTCCCGCTTATATTCAACCACAACATTTACCTTTCCCTCTGTGCCCATTTCCATCCCAGAAAAGGGCTAATATTGATTAATTACCCACTATATGGTTAAACACCTTTCTTTATATACATTATCTTGATTCATTAAAAAATACTTTCAAAGCCCATTATTTAAGTCAGATATAAATGAAAAGATCAGATATATTGAAAGCAACAAATTCCACGAGGCATTCACCAAGACCACTTCCTCCTCCAGGAAGGCCTCCCAGATCCTTCTCATTTTCCTCCACCAAACTGAAGTAACTGTCCTATCCTGGAATTTTCACATTACTTTATTTCACTTGCTACTTTGTACTAGAGTTATTTATTCATATTGTCCTACCATATTAGAGAGAAATTACTTTCATTCATCTCCCTGTGGACACCATGACTAGCACAGTTCATTGTATATCTTGTACACAAAAGGTGCTGAGTAGAGACCCTTGAATGAATGAATCAGTGAGTGAATTACTCGACTTGGGACTGGAGCTGGATCTTAAAGGGCAGTTCGGTTTAGACACTCCTCAGTGTCCAAAGAACTGCGAGAATCAGCAGGGTTGATTCACTTCTCAGTCACAATAGACTATAGATTAGTCACTATGACCTATAAATCATTCTGGCTGGCATCCTTCGTGGACTCCTCACTGATGTATTTCTTTTTTAAATTTTATTTTATTTTTAGAGATGGGGTCTTGCTATGTTGCCCAGGCTGGTCTTGAACTCCTGGGCTCAAGCCATGCTTCCTCCTTGGCCTCCCAAAGTGCTGGGATTACAGGCATGAACCGCTGTGCCTGGCCCTGACGTTTTTCTCTAACCATACTAAGAATTGAACAATTTTCCTCCCTAGGTCCCACCCCGACACTGGTTAGACTCGTTCGCATGTAGTGTGGTCTCTGCTGACATCAACACTTTATTGGGATAGGAAGTTGGCACTTTATTGCAGAGATCCCATTATTGCCCCGTAGGAGGCTGTCACTTCCCCAAACTGCACTAGCTCTGGTGCCAATCTCTCGCTCACGCATCCTCCTCCTGACTGCTGGGAGCACATAGGCATGCTGCATGTCACCTGCTCCTCGGGCTTTTGACAATCTCCTTCCTTTGTTTCCAAATCCTAAGCAAATTGCTCGGTTGACAATCAAAGCCTACTAACATCAAACAGCTGCTATAGACAGGTGTGTTCTACAGTTACCTGCTGTTTGCTTTCCTCAGCAGGGACTGGTATGACAAACAAAACCAAGAGCTGGGTGCCGACGTTCAGAGTCACTCCTGAAAGCTCAAGCTAGTGTCTGTTTCTTTGGCTTCCCTGGTATTTTTCAGACTTGGAAATTCACCCCACCCATGGCCTCCCTCAGTCCTTACAGTGTGTGGCTGTCTAGGATGTTGTAAAACCTGCTGATTCTTGCAGTTCTTTGCGAAAAGCTAGGAAGCACAGCAGCTGCATTGAAACAAAGAGGTTGCCCAGTTCTGGAACCTTGGGTTTCTAAATGGCACCCAGTCTCCTTCAAATATTTTCCACACTTTTCTTTCTTGTTAATGCATTTATATGAGTGTTGTCTCCTGATTTTTGCTTTTAGCAGAAAACATTTCAGGTTCTCACCTTTGAAAGTTGCTCTAATCACCCTGGAGTATGACCGGTCACTTAATCCCCCATCACTGGTACGTAGGAGGGTGTGACAGGTTGGAGGTGAAATGGATTTCCACTTTTCCAATGTTCCTTCCTATACTTTGGAGTCTGGAAAACTAGCAACCATTGTTTTCCACATTCTTTTCTATTTTTCAGATGTGTTTCTCCCTGGGGCTCTGGATGTGATTTAAGTTCTGCCAGTCAGGTGTGCCCGGATGAAATGTGGAAGGGGAAGTGAGTCAGAGCTCGTGTTTTTGGGGCTGCTGCTTCTCTGGCCGCACCATCACAATTGTGTTAGGGTTTTCTGTGGCAAGTACGGATGGTGGCCACTTTCTAATTATACCACTTCCTGATCTTGGTGGCTTCCTGATCACCACCAAGGCAGCAGTTTCCTCGGTGCCCTGGTGTTCCAAGACACTCCCGAAAGCTCAATCTAGCGTCTATTTCTTCAGCTCTCCTGGTAATTTTGTAAGTCATTTAATACCCCTCTTTCACTTGCTAAAGTGAATTCCCTACGACTTCCTTATGACTGACCCTTAATCAAAACAGAGGGCAATTGGGCTAGGACATTAATCCCCCACTGCTGAGCAAGGTGCACTGAGGTAATCAGTCAGTCAGCAGGGGTCCTTCCTCAGCCTCAGGCTGGATGTTCCCGGGAGGAGGGCCACCATTCTGCCAGGGAGGACCCTGTCTGCCTCTGTGCCATGCTCATGTCCTTCCCGCTGCTTGGGATAGTTTTTCTTCCACTTCCATGTTTCTCCTTTGAGAGCTACTCCTTTTCCTGAGCTGGAAGCAGATTTTTCTTGTCTGAACTCTGAGAGCACTCACCATACTTCTCTTATGATGAAATGATCACTTTCTTCTTGTGTTATTGTTACTTGTGCACATTTTTTTTTTTTTTTTTTTGAGACAGGGTCTTGCTCTGTTGCCCAGGCCGGAGTGCAGTGGCAGGATCTTGGCTCACTGCAGCCTCAACATCCTGGGCTCAAGTGATTGTCTTGCCTCAGCCTTTTGAGTTGTGGGGAATACTTTTATTTTATTTTTAGAGATGGGGCATGCACCAATACACCTTGCTAGATTTTTTTGGTGAAGATAGGGTTTTACTATGTTGCCCAGGCTGGTCTGAAACTCCTGGGCTCAAGCAATCTGCCTGCTTTGGCCTCCCAAAGTGCTGGGATTACAGGCCTGAGCCACCACACCTGGCCATTGTGCATATTTCTTATCTCCTGAACCAAATGGTTAGTCCTTTAAGAGCAGGAGCACAGTCTGGATCATTTTGGCAGGTCCTGAGTATGTCAACACTGGTGTGCCTTATGTATACAGGTACATGATGACATTCCTGACACAAATGAATGAGTGGAGGAAAGCATGTACAGGTAGCTGTGCTCCCCACCTAGGACTTGATATATTATTTTTCATTTTCCTCCACGTGGATTTTGGCCTTTCAGAGACCTCATGCCAGTTTAAATGATGGCACTGGTGCCAATGATGGTGCTGCTACCACCCAACAAAACTTTCTGTGATGATGGAGATGTTCTATCTGTCCGGTGAGGTAGCCCCTAACCACCGGTGATTACTGAGCATTTGAAACGCGGCCAGTATGGCTGAGGAATGGAATTTTAACTTTTATTTATTTTTAATTAATTTAAATCCAAGCAGCCACTGAGGTTACTGGCTGCCATACTGGAGAGTGCGCCATCAAATCACATCCTAGCCTGGCGGGCACACAGTCCCTATGTACTAACTACTCATTCTGCCATGGACAGGATGACAGGCCAGGACACTCTGGATGCCATCCTCAGTGTGTCTAGGCTGTGACTCTGACTTTCTGGCCCAGGATCAGGGCCTTACAGTGCAGGAGAAAGACAGAGATGTGGAAGCTTCATGGGGAGGCTTTAAAAATGGATGAGCAGCTCTTAAATACTCTTTTCCCTAATTTCTAAAAGCGATCTGCCTGCTGCTTGCACTCCGAAGTGCTGATGTATTGGTGTGGTGCTGTGGCAGCATGAGGCAGCACATTGCTAGAAGGGTGGTTGGCCTTGTGTCGAGCAGCCTCCTGCTACCCATTGGCCCTGAATGGATAGCTCCTTTTGGAGAGCATAATGAGTTTCTCATGAGGACATTTGTCCTGCTCTGTGGCATCTCCTACAGCCACCACATGTGTGTGTCCAATTGCAGCTGGACAGCAAGAGTGCAAACAGCCCCTGTGAGCACCCTGGATTGCTGTGGGTAGGGTGACTTCAACACACCCCAGGCCTGGCCACTTTGCTAGCTCTCCATACACATACAAAAGGGTATGATGCCAGGACAGAACTAGGATAATGATGCCAAGACGGAACATGGCACACACTCTTAGTGCACATATATGGTCACCTGGCTGCAGAGTGGCCTCCTTTCATGAGGTTCCTAGAGCACACATGCAGGGCCCTTTTGTTTATAGTCATCTCTTTCATAGAGTTCTTGGAGATCATCAGCTACGCTTTGATCCACTCTGCTGCGCACCCATATTCTTATCCACAGAATTCAGCACAACCCATCACCCTTGATGCCCTTGGCATAATGTAAGCAGGTACGTTCTAGAAGCATCAAGTGCTCTGAGGGCCTCTGTCTCTTCCTGTTCTACTGCTCTAGGGTCACTGTCTACGAAAGTAGAAGCTCCAAATACAACAAACACACACACAGAGCCAGAGAGAAACCTCACCACTTTGTTTTGCTTCACTTAGGGCCCACTGAAAATGAATGAATGTCCTGACTAGATAATTGCTTGCTATTGGGAAATGGGCTGGGGGTTTGGGAAAGTGAGCGAGAGTGACTTGGGAAGGTCTGGCAGAGACAGGACAGAGGCAGAGGCATGAGTTAAATGTACAGTTAGATCTGGGCTCACATTCTGGCTGTGAGACTTGGGCAAGGTCTCTCTGAGTCTCTGTTTCATTTTATGGGTTGGTGAGAAGTTGAAATGAGATAGTGTATGTGACAGTCCTCATAGGATGTTTGACAAATAGAACCAAAGGCACATTGTGGTCGGGAGCCTCTGTGACCTGCACCTCTTGACAGCTTTTGTAGCTGAGCCAAGATTTGGAGGAACACTGGGATGCTCACTCATGGCCATGACATCAGCATTCCAGGAAGGCAGCTCCACAGGTGAGTCAATTCTGATACTGCTGGTAGCTCACCATCAGGAGCAATGCGATAATAGCTGAAATGCATACGGCCTTTGTAATGTTCATTTACATTGATCTAACCACTTTCTGGGAAACTCACAACAGTCCATGGGTGTGATTATTGTTATTTCTATATTGCAGATGATGAAGCTAAGGCCCCAGGAGGTTAACTAACTTGCCCAAGGCCATATTGCTTGTATGTGGTATAGCTGGGGTTCAAATCCAGGTAGTTTGGTTTGAGAGTCCACACTGTTAATCATCGCTTCCCATCACACTGCTTTTAGCTGAACTCAACATGGCAATGATGACAGTAGCTAAAAGTAACAATAGCAAAGGAGGCTAGGAAATGCTTACCTTCCTAAAAGCTTTATAGTGAACTTCATGTGAATCGTGTTTTCACCCAGACTGCATGTGATCTCAAAATTTTAAAAATATGCCTGTAGAAAGGGGATTTTAAATTGGAAAAGATGAGTCCTTCCCATACTATATGTTTTACAGTTGGAAGGAATACAAGCTTTCTGAGGAAGGCAGCCCTATGGCTCCAATGGCCTGGAGCTCCATTTTGTCTCGGTAGCTACCCTGGAATGGCGGGTCAGATGGTGGAGAGGCTTAGAGACTCAGTAAAGAAGTCTGGGCTTGGCCCTGAGTCACTGGAGAGTTTCAAGTGGAGACAGATGGGATGAATGACTGTTCTGCTGCAATCAGGCTGACAGTGCAGAGTGCAGGTTGAAGGGAGATGGAAGACGGAGAGGCCAATGAGAAGGCTGCTGCACGTGAGGAGGAGGCTGGGCTAGGGTTGAAGAAGAGGGAATGAAAAGATGGGGATGCCCTCAGAAATAAAAGGAAAAGCCACAGGGCTTGTGATTAATTGGATCCTGGGGTGGGAGAAGCAGACATGGAGGTTTTCAGCCAGAAGCAAGAGACTTAAGAAGAAAAAGGAATGGTTTTGAGAGAAACAAGATTCAGACCCAGTGAATTTTAGGAGAGACAGGGGAACTAAGTTGCAAGGCTAATAGGTAGTAGGAGATCTTGTGCTGGGACACAGAATAACTCAAGCTTGAGGTTTAGTAGAGAAATGGGAATTACGGCATTGAGAATTAGAGGAGGTTGTGAGAGGAGAGCTGAGAACTAAGAGGTAACTCCAGCATCAACAAGGTGAATGTGGAGAGCCTCTCATAGAGCCTGGAAGGAAGACCACTGGTGACATTTGAGAGTACAGTCCAGGTTCTCCAGAGAAAAAGAACCAATAGGGCGTGAGAGTGTGTGTGTGTGCGTGCGTGCGTGCGCGCATGTGTGTGTGCATATTGATATATACACACACATATACATATATAAAGAAATTTATCATAAGAAATTGGATCACATGTATATGAAGGCTAAGTCCCAAGATCTACAGTCAGCAAGAAGGAGACCCAGGAGAGCCAATGTGTAGTTCCAGTGAGAGTCCAAATGCCTGAGCATAGCACAAATTTCAGTCCAAAAGCTAGCGGAATTAAGACCCAAGAAGAGCCAATGTTTCAGTTCACATTCAAAGGTCAGAAAGAGGCAATGTCCCAGTTCAGACAGCCAGGCAGGAAAAGCTCCCTCTTGGCCTTTTTGGTCTGAATTTTTGGACTTCAACTGATAGGGTGAGGCCCACTCACATTAGGGAGGACAATCTGCTTTCCTCAGTCCACCAATTCAAATGGTAAACTCATCCACAAACACCCTCATACACACATCCAAGATAATGTGTGGCCAAATGTCTGGGCACCCTGTAGCCCAATCAAGCTGACACATAAAATTCACCACCACAGTGCCATGAAGTTAGCTGTTGAAGGCTAATGAAGAAATGTGTGGTAGGGAAAAGGATGCAGGAAGACACAGACCATACAATTGAGAATGTTGTCAGCCAAAAGAAGCAGAAAAGTCACAGACTAATCTGAATGGGCAGCAGGGTTACTCAACATTTCTTTACATGGTAAAAGAGACCTTCTGACTTGATGCTTTTATGCTAATCCATGTGGACATTTGTTCTGTCATTCCTCTTCCCCCAGGTTATTAAATTGAATATATAATTTTCCATTCTAATGATATTTTCCCAAAGGTAACTTTAAAGTAGTTTGCATTTTTGGCAGGCATGCCAACTGTTGGCAGAAGCAGGTGGCTCAGAAGGGCTCTGGGGCAAAGGAATAATCCAGTTCATAATCTAAAGTGTGCTGCGGATAAAGATGCATGCCTCTTAGAAAGATATCATCAAAGTTAATTTTTCTGTGTGATTCGTGGCTTTTCAACATTGGTGCAGAACAAGGGATGTTTCAGTGTGTTGACCACCTTAGTGTTTACTTAAAAGAAATACACGGAAATACACCTTTCAGGCATTGGTGCGAGATGGGTCAGAAAGAAGCCAGAGAACCTGCAGTTGTGTCAGCTGGAGCAGGTGGTGAGTTGGCTGAGGCACAGTAACATGTCCTTGCATTGGTCCCATCTGATCTGATCAGTGCAATGATCACAATGGAGGGCTTGAGACTCTGCAGAATGTTAAGTGTAAAGAGTGATGAAATCCTTTCTGAGCTTGCAAACTGTTTTCTATAATCCTAGTTTCATGTTTCACCAGTGTGGCTCCCTTTCCTCCACACAACTCTGCTCTTAGACAGATCCCACATGGCCAGTGGGCTGGGCACTCAGCCCTGGTGAGCCCTCTTCCTGGAAACCCCATATCTTCCATCACTTAAATCTCTTAAAGAAGAGCATACAAATAGCCCTCAAATAGCACTTGTGTCCAGAAAGTCACATGCATAGCATGCCTGTATCTCTACTCCAAGCATGCCAGGTAGGTTGGCTTTGCATGATATGTAAGCTGCTGCCAAACATGCCCATTAGCTGTCATTTGTCACTGACTTCACTGTTTTCTTACTTTTATTTTAAAGAAGGTCATCTCTATATTTTCAGTTGAGACCCACTTATTAATTTACAAGGATACTGCACACATATTTTCAGTTATTATATATTATTATCATAAATAGTTATCTATATATCATTTCGTATACAGATATCTGTATATATGATATTATCTATATATAATCCATGTATGTATTATCTGTACATAATATATCTGTATATCATATTCTTAAATATACATTGTCATCATAATATATGTAAAATACAATATATGGAGACATCTTCTCAATTTTTTATAAAATATAACAACAAATTATACTCAAATAATCTAACCAGAGCATTTGTTAAGCACCATGTGCTCAGTATTAGTTTAAGCCACATGGGATACAGAACAACTATAAGACATAATATTGACTCTCAGGTTGACCACACACAAGCTAGGAAACAAGACCCATACACGGGAAGTGACAATGAACTCTCCTGGCTAGTTGGCCATGGGGGGCACATGCAGAAGATGGAAAGGCAGCAGGGTGTGTCTTCCCTGTTCTTACCCTGCTTCAGCCTCTCTGGGAAGGTCACATCCTTCTATGACTGCAGCTGCTGCTGGGCCATTCCCCCGGCTCTCACTGGCTCTGGTCCTTCCATTGTTCCTTTCACCCTGTGGGTAGTAACAGCTTCCTGGTGTTGCTAGTCTCTGGGCAGCTTTCCTTGCTTGTTCTCACACCCCTGTCCATTCCTCTGTCAGTAGCACCTTCCTTAAATTCCATCCATCTGTACCATTAGGAGTGAATTCTGTTTCCTCCTGGGACTATGATGGATGCAGTGAAACTTATGAAGTTGCAGGTAGGGGGTTGCTTCACTTGTTGGTAAAGATTCAAATGTGTCAACCAGAACAAATACTTGTTTGATAAAGGAGAAAGGAGTTAGCCTTCCCCAGCAGGAGAGGAGGAGGAACTTTGAAAGCAGACAGATGACTTGTAGAGAGCAAAAGCAAGGGCTTGAAGTGAACAAGTTGGTGTTTTGGTGTAGACAAGTCTGATCTGTACAGCTAATTTTTAGACTTTAAAAAGTTAAATGAATCCTTCCTGGAGGCTTGTGCTTCCTGTCCTGTCACTTGTTTGAAGAGAGAGCTACATCAAAGCCCCAGGCACCAGAATTCCCGAGAACCCAAACTTCACAGCCCTGCTGGGGGACACCTCAGATCCTCAATTAGGAGGATGAGTGCAGGTGAGCAAGGAACCCCCTCCTGCTTTAATTACTCCTGGCATAATATTCTTTTTCAAGCTTTGCTAATTGAAATTAAACAGCTGCCACATTTGGACAGGGACAAAAAAGAATCAATTTTTCAGCTTTCTCTGATTTAATAGAGACTGACAGGCTGTGAGGAAACCAGGGGCGATTTCACTCCCTTAGCTACTGGGTCACCAGTGGTTGACTCAAAGCAAAATAGAGTGTTGAGGAGGTGAAGTCTTCCCTAGTACAGTAAGAGTGACGCTTGCCAGGGGTTTGTTCTCGGGGCAAATGACACGTTAAGTTAGTCTCATGGCCACCTTTACTAAAATGATCCAGTAGCCGACTCTTCTGTAGCCCAAGATTACCAAGATCTACCATATGCCAGAAGGGGCTAGAAATAGTCCCCTGTCAAGCGAATTCTTTCCTAGGTAAGTTCTTAACAGTTGGTGAAGGGTGGTAAGGGATGGTTTTATCACCTTAGAGGACAGATTAGTAAAGGGAAGCTGAAGGAAAAGAGATTCTTTTGCACTTAAGGGTATGCTAGGTGCTTTCAGAGAAGTTGTCTTCTTCAAGCCCTATAGCAACATAGGGACTTAGGTCTTATGAAACAAACTGGACTTGGAGCTTGGGGCTTAAGTCTGTGTGTGGTGAGTGTGATATGCTTGAAGGGCTTGGATAAAAATCAGTGACCAGAACAGTTGGCCTTCCTCCCACCTCCCAGTCTCAATGCACGGAACACCAGAGGCAAGGCATCTGTCCTCAGGCAGAAAACCAGAAGTTTCTTCTCTGAATAAACTAGATGGCCCTAGGGACTAAACTTTCCCATACAAACATTCTCTACTTCATAACCTTAAAGCGAAGCCTGTTAGTTGGCAAGCCCTGCTCCCACTCCCAAAGAAAATGCCCCCTGTTTAGAATGTCATATTTAAATACAGTGACAGGCAAGGATTTTTGAGGGAAGCTTCTGAATGAAAGGAAACAAAAATAGACAAACAGAAAGAGAAATAATGTAGGAAAAAGAAAATAAACTTAAAAAAGAAAAAAAACCCTTCTAATTCAAATCTTTAGAGAGATTTGAGAAGATGTTATGCAAAGGGAACAATTGTAGAATAAGAAAGAATTCTTAGAATTTAAAAACAGAATTTCTAGGGCCCGGCGTAGTGGCTCATGCCTGTAATCCCAGCAATTTGGGAGGCTGAGGTGGTTAGATTGCTTGAGCTCAGGAGTTCAAGAACAGTGTAGGCAATGTGGTGGAATCCTGTTTCTACAAAGAATACAAAAAACTTAGCTGGGCATGGTGGTGTGCACCTGTAGTCCCAACTACTAGAGAGGCTGAAGTGGGAGGATTGCTTGAGCCTGGGAGGTGGAGGTTACAGTGAGCTGAGATCCTGCCACTGCACTTCAGTCTGGGCAAGATAGTGAGACCTTGTATCCAAAAAAAATTTTCTAAAATAAAAAACAGTGGTAAAATAGTAGGAAGGTAACATCAAGAAAATCTCCCAGAAATTACAGCAAGATGTAATAGAAAATAGGAAGCAAGTGAGAGAGCAGGATGGAAGCCAGAGCCTTTTTAAACCCTCATATTGGAAGGAACACCCCATCACTTTTATCATATTTTATTTATTAGAAGCAAGTCATTAGGTCCAGCTCAAGAGGGGATTACTGAAGAAAGGACTACAGGGAGCCTGAGAACACTAGGAGTCTCTTTAGAAGATACCTACCACACCCTCAAGAAAATCTCCCAGAAATTATAGCAAGACGTAATAGAAAATAGGAGAGAACAGATAAGATATATAGAAGATAAACCTATCTAGAAGAGGTTGGCAATGAATGGTCCATGTGCCAAGTCCAGCCTGTGGCCTGTTTTTATATGTTCTTTAAGCTGTGAGTGCTTTTAAAATTTGTAATGGGTTGTATTAAAAAAAAGAAAGACGATGTGATAGACCACATGTGACTCACCAAACCTAAAACGTTTACCGTCCGGCCCGTTACCAAAAAACTTGCTTACTCCTGTTCTAACAGGTCCGACATCCAACTCATAGGAATTCTATAAAAAGAGAAGAGATAAAGTGAACACAGGAAATTATCAAAGAAAATATACAAGAACAATTCCCAAAATGTAAGGACATGAATCTCAGGCTGAAAAGGTGAACGGGGTATCCAGCGCAATAAATGAAGACTGAGCCTTAAACCGATAATATCACCGTAAAATTTCAGAATATCGGGGTTAAAAAAAAGATCCTGAAAGTTTCCAGGGGAGATAAAAACTGGTCACTTACAGAGGAATGAAAAATCAGACATCTTAATAGTTGCATTTGATGCTAGAAGAAAATGGAGCAACACCTTACAAATTCTGATGGAAAGTAATCTTTGGCCTCGAATTTTATATCTATCCAAATGTTAGGGAATATAAATACAAAGGCATTTCAGACACAAAAAGACTTAGAACACTTATCTTCACAGTATCTTTAATTGACAGCACTTGCTACAGATGTGCTCTCCTAAAATGAGAGAGAGTAAACCACGAAAGGAGACCATGGGTTCCAAGAAACAGACATCAACTTAAGGAAGTGGTGAAGGAACTCTCACTGGAGATTAACTGGTCCAGATTAGAGCAAGAGTCCCGGGGGTTGGGGAAAAGCTGTAGTAGGCATCTTCTAAAGAGACTTCTAGTCATCTCAGACTCCCTGCAGTCCCTTCTTCTATAATCCCCTCCTCTTGAGCTGGACCTAGTGACTTGCTTCTAATTCATAGAATATGATAAAAGTGATGGGGTGTTCCTTCCAATATAAGGGTTTAAAAAGACTCTGGCTTCCATCTTGCTCTCTCACTTGCTTGCTCTGATGAAGCCAGCAGCCAGGTTGTGAGCTGCCCTGTGGAGAGGCCCATGTGACAAGAAACCAAGGGAGGGCCCTGGCCAAAGCCTGTGAGGAACTAATCCTGCCAACAATCACTGGAGTGGGCTTGGCAGTAGATCTTCTCCTGGTTGAACCTTGAGAGGACTACAGTCCTGGCTGACACCTTAATCGCATCCTTGTGAGACATCCTGAATTAGAGGACCCCGCTAATCCAAGTCTGATTCTTTTCCCACAGAAATTGTGAGATAATAAATGCTCATTGTTTTAAGTTGCAAAGTTTTGAGGACAATTTGCCATACAGTGAAAGATAACTAATACAAAAAAGCTGAGCGAAAACTGATATGATGGAATATTTTGGGGAAGAGATCAAGGATTAGTAGGTAGCAAATTTTACCCATAAACAGCAAATAGAAACTTACAGAAAATTCCAAAGTTGCACTGGAAAGAAAATGCAATCATAGTTCACTGTTTGGCTCCATAGTGAACAGTATTAACATAATCATTCTGTTATAAATATTGAGTATATAACTAAAACAAGGAGTGATAAGTGGAATAAGATAACTATGTTCTCATTTATCATAATACGCAGTCACTGAATAATTTCTAACATTGAAAAAAAATGACCAGTTTAAATACACTGTGTTAAGTGTGGAGGTAACTATCAGAAGAAACAGCTAAAAGAGTTGAAAGTGGTTGTCCTCGTGGAGCAGAACTAGGACAGTACATGGGGGACAGGTAGAAAGGAGTCTCTTGTTTTTCATTATAATTTTTTTTTTTTTTTTTTTTTGAGATGGAGTCTCACTTTGTCTCCTAGGCTGGAGTGCAGTGATGCAATCTCGGTTCACTGCAAGCTCTGCCTCCTGGGTTCATGCCATTCTCCTGCCTCAGCCTCCAGAGTAGCTGGGACCACAGGCGCCCGCCACCACGCCTGGCTAATTTTTGGTATTTTTAGTAGAGACAGGGTTTCACTGTGTTAGCGAGGATGGTCTCGATCCCCTGACCTTGTGATCCGCCCGCCTCAGCCTCCCAAAGTGCTGGGATTACAGGCATGAGCCACCACGCCCGGCCCATTATAAGTTTTTGATACTATTTGAATACCTAATTTTGCATATATTACTTTGATGTCAACTTGACCATCTAGACTGATATGCAAACACAAAGAAATGCAAAAATAAATATAAATTTAAATATTACATAGGCAAAATTTAAATCAAGAAAATTAACATTCTAGGAGTCAGAAATAAAGATAGTTCATAGCACATGATGTCATATGGCTCACGGAAGTAACCAGAAACCATATGTGCCTTAAGGCCCGGGATTTGATCCATCTGGGGATAGGTGCTGAGAGGAACCTAGAAGGAGTCTCTCTGCAAACAGTGAAAAGATGGTGCAGTCAGAAGAACTCTGTCAGCTTCAGGATGCAGCACTGATGGGCTGCCTGTTCCAGGCACAGGTTAGAAGGAATGATGAGAAATCAGTATTCCTAATTTATGTGGTGCCAAATTCTATTACTAATCATGCTCTATGGAAATTCAGAGTCTAGAAACTGTCATAAAAATTGATCTGGAATGTTTGAATCCTGTAGAGTTCCCAGTGTAATGATGGAAATGCATAATAAAGACACATTCACAATACAGAGCATGTGTAGGACCCCACAAAAGATAACTACCAGCAAAACAGGCTAATTGACAATGTGACAAAACACAGGAATAAATCCAACATTATAAGAGATGTCAGCAGGTACATCAAAAGGGAGAAATCATATCAAAGACCTCATGGAAATTAGAGGAATATAAAAGGGACTTTAGCAATGTATCTAAAAGGTTCAAAAACATAATGAAAGGAATGAAAAACTTAAGGTAAGATTAGGGCACCATAAAAAAGAAAGTCCCAATATACATTGAAAAAAATATATAAATTCCAGAAATAAAAATCAGTCTTGAGATATACCTTCAGTGGTGGGTGAAAGAGATTAGACATGGCTGAAGTGAGAATGAGCAAGCTGGAAGAGAGACCAAAGGAAATAATAAAAAATACTATACAATGAGGTAAATGTACAATGTGAAAGAGAAGTAATGAGAAATCCCAGAATGTAACCTGCCAATACATGTCTAATAGAAATTCCAGAGAAAGAAAAACAAGATTGGAGAAGAACCAATATTTGAGAAAACAGAAGTTCCAAAATTGAAGGAGGACATGAGCCCTTAAATTTAAGAAGCATACAGAGTCCCAAACATGACAAAATAAAGAGAAATAAATCCAGACCTAGACACAGTGTAGTGAAGCAGAGAAATGTAAGGTAATAAATGCTTCCAGAGAGAGAGAGAGAGAGAGAGAGAGAGAGAGAGAGAGAGAGAGAGAGTTGTGTGGGTTTAGGGTGAGGGTGGGTTAATAGGGTTGTTGCATTTGGTGGTTGGTTGAAGAAGATGTATTATAATGCTGTGTGTTATGTGAAATGTCAAATCCCTTTAGTTGTGCCTGATGAGAAGGTGGCAAGTTCCCGTTATTCCCCAGCTTTCCAAGTGAAATTGGAAAGGAAGCTAAGGTTCAGGAGAAGGAAGCTTATAATATTTGATGAGTTGCATTTAGGAGGAGTTTCTTCGAAGGGAGCTGAAGTTGAAAAGCATGTTAAACCTAACACAATCAGTTTGTGTTTGTTTGCAGTGAAAGTAAAGTGTAAGTGCTTCAGGAAGGGAGAGGAAGGAAGAAGGCATGGTCTTTGAAGGTGAATTAATGTTAATGTCATTTCAGTTATGAAGCGTAATATCTTTGTAAATGTTAAAAGCTAAATTTACCACACCAGGCTGCTTTGGACTACAAAGGTGATGTGGTTTCTTCTTTAATCATGAAAAGAACAAGTACATGAAACTAAACTCAAAACAATGTTATTTATTTATGGAGAAGAAAAAAGACTGAACAGTTGATAAAAGCCAGAAGGCTCTGATTAATATTTAAGTATTTCCTGGTTTCCCAAACTGTGTTTCACAACTAAAAAAAAGCCTCATTTTAATACGCTGGGTTAAATGAAAACTTTGTAATACGGGAAGTCTGGATGGGTGAAAAGTGTGAAAGGGGAGGGAGTCAAATAGTCTTTGGCTGGAAGATGTTAGCTCTCCCTACACCACATTCTTACTCTTTGGGTTTATTTTTAATTCTTGCTTTTTTTACTTTACCTGGCCCTGTTATAAATAGAGCACTACAGCACCAATTCAAGCCATTAAACTTTGTGAAGGAGTTGCATGTCTTTTATTATTTAAGATACCCTCATTTCCTTCACTGATTCATTGTTAATTACAGAAGTCAGAAACTAGGTTTGAAACCTGTTTAGATGTCTCACTTGATATTACTGGAAACCCTGAACATTAGTTGCTTTCAATATAAGCTGTTCCTGGTTATAACTCTGGTTGCAACCTTCTCTGCTTTGCCGCCTCCTGCGGTTCTTGAAGTCAAATGAAGCTGCCACCCCCTATTTCTTGGGTCATTACCATGAACTGTGATCCCGATATGTGCGAAATATATAAAAATTTATCAACTTTACATATCAAAAATTAAAGTGCTGAATCTGCATTCATATTTAAATATTATAAATGATCTCCTCTCTAGCTGGCAGCTCTAGGAGGAGTCTAGAAAGCAGACTGTGTAGTAATGTGTGTTGGTTTTATTGGCAGCGTTTGCTACGCTAATGGGAGAGATAAACTCAGGAGAAATTAGCAGGTTTGTAAACAGAAATAAATGGGAATACAAAGAGTCCAGACATTTGCTGAGTCAAAGGGTTGAAAAAACTTACTGCTTCAGTAGAGCATAGAAGAGAGAGAGAGAGAGAGAGAGAGAGAGAGAGAGAGAGAGAGAGAGAGGAACAAGATTGTCTACAAAAGAAAAGTCATTAGCCTGACAGCTAACTTTTGTCAGGATAATCGTATCAGAAGATAACAGAACAACCTTCAAAATTCTTAGGGAAAATAATTAACAACCTTGAATTTTATACCCAACTAAATTATAATTCAAAAGTGAGGTTGTATAAGACATTTCCAGACATATAAAGATGAAGAGTTTACTTGTCTTAGATCCTTGCAGAAAGAATGAATAGACGAAATAGTTTCAAGAAGGCAAATTATACCAGAAGAGAAGAGGACACAGGAAGCAACAGTGAACAAAGCAGGTGAAATGTGTTGATTAAATAAGTAAGTAC